TCAGGCCGTACCTGCTGGCTAGCATGGCGCCGCGGTGCCAGGGCTCAGTGGGAGCCATCGTGGGCGCCGTCCCAGGGGTCATTTCGCTGTCGCCGGGCGAGACGGTGGTGGGCGCTCACCAGGGGCGCCACTCCAAGCTGGCGCAGTATCGCCGCATGAAGACCGACTGGAAAACCAACGTCTACCTAGCTCAATCAGGCCGTACCTGCTGGCTAGCATGGCGCCGCGGTGCCAGGGCTCAGTGGGAGCCATCGTGGGCGCCGTCCCAGGGGTCATTTCGCTGTCGCCGGGCGAGACGGTGGTGGGCGCTCACCAGGGGCGCCACTCCAAGCTGGCGCAGTATCGCCGCATGAAGACCGACTGGAAAACCAACGTCTACCTAGCGCGCTCGCGCATCCAGGTGAGCCTCGCCGCCGCGCCCGTTGGGGCCCGAGGCAAGGCCGGCCGGGCGGTCACTCGCGTTTGCATGTATCCGCGCAGGGCCTGGGGCTGTATGCCGCACGAGACATCGAGAAGTGCACCATGGTCATTGAGTACATCGGCGCCATCATCAGGAGCGAAGTGGCCAACCGCAAGGAGAGACTCTACGAGAGTCAGGTGACCTCATTGGAGGGCTCTCACCGCCCGACACGTCCTCATCAGGTCCCCCCAAAAAATGGAGCGCGTTGTTTTTCCAAGTACAATTTTGACGGCAGCTTGGACGACGACCCTTGGCGCCGCGCAGTCGTCGCAGCGTTGACCACCCGTGCCGGTTTGCCACCCACGTCCTAACGTTTGTCTCGTGTGCGTAGAACCGAGGCGTGTACATGTTCCGGATCGATAACGACTATGTGATCGACGCCACCATCGCCGGAGGACCCGCCAGGTGCGACGGCGCCTGATGACGACAGCCGCGGCCGCCGGCGCTGCCGCGTCACTGATGTCGCCTGCGCTTGTGATCGATAGGTACATCAACCACTCGTGCGCCCCCAACTGCATGACTGAGGTGGTGAGCGTGGAAAAGGAGAACAAGATCATCATCAGCTCCTGTCGACGCATTCAGAGGGGAGAAGAGGTACAGTAGTACATCCTTTGCTTTGCCGCGCTCGCTCAACTGCATCTGTCCTTCCGCGCGTTTGTCCGGCAGCTGTCCTACGATTACAAGTTTGACCTGGAGGACGACCAGCACAAGATCCCGTGTCACTGTGGCGCTTTCAACTGTCGCAAGTGGATGAACTGAGCTGAGAGTTGGATTGGCGGACGGACGGCTGAGCGAACGAGCAAGAGGCTGGTCCTCTGTGTGTAAATGTGTAGAAAGACCAGCAGATGATTTGGTGTAAAATACATTTGGTTTGTTTTTGTATTTATTACTAAAAGAACTTATTTTTTAATCACTCTCCTTTTGTGTTTGGTGGCGAGTGGCAGCATGTAAATAAAGTCTGGTTAAAAAAAAATAATAAGGAAATCACCCTTTGGACAAGATCCGTTTTGAATTGTTTCGTTTATTTGCCATTGTGTCCATTTTTGTTTGTCACCATGCCCCGTCTTGCTTTTTTTCCCCCTACAGTGTGATCATGATTATGAATGGATTTTTTTTTTGGGGGGGGGGCGGGATTATGTGGACCCTGATTTGGAAACATGTTCATCAAAATAAAATATTTTACATCTTGAACAACATGGCACCGTGTATTGGTGTAACTGGAGAAGATAAAAAAAAAGATACATGCTGAATGAACCGATTAGGGTAAACCCAACTCGGTGAATGAGGAAAATATTGCAAAAGTTCTCATGAAAAGGAAGGTTCAAGTTTGGAGCGGGCTGTATTTTGCGCATCTCTGCACTTTCCCAATTGTTATCCCAAGGCTGCTTATTTACATTCGGAAGATCTCATCCCACACCAACCCCCCCGAAAAGGGCTACCAAAGGTATGCCGAACTATCGATCCTGTGTTGTTGTCTCCTTTTGGACACGGATTTGAATTTTGGGTCTTGTGCCATCTAGCGGGCGAACTGAATTGTTCGCGCTGTGACTGACGTCAGGAAATGCTGTACTGGAAACAAAACCCCATTGCAGTATTTGTAGTAAATAAGGGCGGCACGACCGCCTCACAGTGCAGAGGTCGCGGGTGTACCCCGCCTGCTGTTCCCGAACAGCACGCCCGCGACCCTCTTGAGGATTAGCGGATTAGAAAACGGAAGGGTGTTGCAGCCATTATTTACTTGCAGCAAATGATGTAGCGCAAAAGCTTGCTAGCTAGCTTGCTTGCTTGTTTTGGAATCACTGAGCCACGCCGTGACGGCCTTTGATGCTGAAGTTGCCCCCGCGTGGCGGATTTTGCTCGGACTGTAATTCTGAAAGCAGTTGGCGGAAGTGTATCCCGCGGCGTGACGTGACGTTTCCGGTGTCCGTCGTCCGGATCTGGTGACGCGCCGTTGATGTTTGTCGTCGTCAGTTCGTGACTTGCGCCGCGTGGTCAAACTCGTCTTGACGGCTGCTGACGGGACGCCGGGTGAGTCACGTGACCTCCCCGCCGTCGAGCGCGGCGGCTAGCAAAATTGCTAACGGGTCCGCTAGGAACGGAACCGAGCTCGTGTTGACGCCGCGGGCTCGGTTCCGTTCTCGGACGGCCTCGAGACAAACGTTCAGCCCGCGCGCACGTTGACCACTTGTTGACGATGTGTTTGGCGGTTCTGCGAGGCGCTTTTCGCCACCTTCGGGCTGTCGTCGATGTCCTCCAAACGCATTCCGTTTGGAGAAATGGCGAGGCGACACCGTACGCGCACTTTGATTGGAGAACGACGAAAAAAAAAAAACCAAGAGAATCCTTCTTTTGGCGTCCGACTGTCTTATCATCATTAGCTTTGTCTTGAAGCGCACTTTCTGATCGGAACTGTGGCTAGAAATGAATCCGAAGCCAACTTGTTGATGGGCTTAAGGGCAAATCCCCCAGAGGAGATTTGCTTGTTTTCGACGAGTGCGGACATTTTATGACCGGACTTTGAGTCGTCGCCTTGTTTTAACGCGGGCGATCATTGACGAGCTTTTCGAGGGTGTGCAGAAGGAGGAAGCTGCCTCCCTGGCCTTCGCAGAGCTCCGACCCGCACCGGTGCGCGCTACCTTTTGGACGCCACATGCGCGATGTACGGACGAGAAACAACCATTGCCGAGATGCCCGCCTTTACGACCCCTGACGCGGTAGTCGAGCGGAGGCGCGCAAGTGAAAAGTTCCGACTTGTGATATAAGAGCGCAAAATCGAAGCCTTCACATCTGACCGCGTTTGTGTGTGCGCGATAGTGTGCGGGCGCGCGGATGTAGCGGTGGGACGTAAAGCGATGCGGCGTGCGCTGCGATGGCTCTGGTGCCGCTGCGCTACTTCTGCTACGGCTGCCTGGTGACGTCGGCCGCCTGGTCGGTGCTCCTCGTCGTCTACTTGTCGCGGACGGCCGAGCCGGGCCTGGGCAGGACTCCCGTCGGGCCTCGGCGCCGGGCCGTCGCCGAGGCGCCGGCCCGGCGGGGCG